GGAATGAGGTTTCACCAATGCCGTTCACCTTCACATTCTGCATTCCGTTACATGATGTCTTCACACTCCAGCTGTAATTAACTGCCTCTGAATTATCTTAATAAGTAGGCAGAGCCTTACAGTGTGCATTTTCAGAAAGTCTCTATGTGCAGCACACAGAGTTTATTATTGCCAAAACAAGCAAAATGTTTTCCTTCAACTTCAGAAAGTTAACTTATACCCACGACACCTGGGTCCGCCATAACAGCACACTATTCCTTTGATATGTTCAATGTTCTTTAAAGGAAGAATACACACACCCCAACACTTTGCATACTTTTCATCTGCCTTGAATCCAAAGTGCCTTGCACATTACCTGTATGGTATAACAATGTAACTTTTAGTCTTACACTGGCTGGACACCTTACATTACTTTCCATTTCAAGGACAGGACTGAATGAAGAAAAAGATCCTTTCTGCCTACTCACTAGAAAACACATGATATGCCGATAGGGCTTTCTGTATAAACACACACAGTTTTCTGAAGCACCTTTATACCGGACACTTTACACAGAGTTATGTAGCCACCCTTGCCAAAACATTAGTTTTTAACATGAAACCAACGAATCAAAGTTATTTCTGTACTAGTCACTTACTCATAGTACTAACTCATAATGTAAAATATATTTACACATACTTACTCTTGGACAACTAACTTTAAAATGTCCAGGTGAAGCCTCACTACACTTTGCTACAAGTGAACTAAGTAGCTACAAGTGAACTACTAACAAGTAGCTAAGCTATTTTGCTTAGTGTGGCAGGAATGGTCCCTTCAAATCAAAACAAACAAACAAACAAAGGCTACCTATTTTGTTGCCTGATCCTCAAGATGTTTACACTGTTGGATTCAGCTATTTTTTAAGAGCAAGATAAAATTAAATGTAAAAACCGAGTCCACCACTGGCGTTATAGGGCACATGACAAGATCATTTTTCTAGTGTTTTTGCGAAAGTAACTACTAATTTTGGTCAAATGAGATAGCCAGGCAACAGAAGAGCACGTAGGTTTGAAGGACATTAGCCTGCATGGACTGAATGGAATTTTAATTTTTAAAACACTAAATTAATGCTACAGAAAACGCACTTACTGAGACTAGAAATTCACCTACTACATCAAAAAACAATACTTCAAAATGTAATACTAACTTTTACAGGATTCTGTTCTGCCACAAAATATAGTTTTCATCATGCAACACATTTTAAATAGTTGTAGGGAATCAAGAGAACAGTATCCTTCATCCTTTCAAGTTTAATGCCACAAAGAGCAGGTAAAGGTATAGTAATAAGGTATAAATGTTTTCGGAACATTTATTCTTGCTTAGCATGCCATTACTCTAACCCAGAAAAGGGAAACCGTCCAATTTGAACTTTCTGTGTTTAAGACACGAGTCCAAACAATTTGAAAATTATGCAACTTTTTATTTATAGTAGACACTAAAGTTTACCAAAAAACATAGTGTAAAATGACCAACCATAAAGTCACTTCACATAAAGTAACTCTAGAATCATCTAGTAAACATAGTTTACATAATATGATGGAACTCCTTTCAGTCTGTAAGTTCTCCCAGGTCAGATAAAATATGAACAATTTGCATACCTACCTTTCTTGTTTTAATGCATATTCTAACATTTTTATTCTTCTTACTAAATCTTTCTTCAAATTTTCTTGACCCTTTCTTTCCCCTTGTAAAAATGCTATCCGAGCCTGAAAACACACACAAAAAAAGAAAAATAATGTATTTTATTCCATTCTGTTCCCAAAACAAAGCAGTGAAGTCTGGTTTGGAAGGAAAAGGAAAAAAAAAAACAAAACTGTTTTGCATTAATGACTTCAGTCAGTCATTAACAACAAAAATACTTTTGCCCTAGAGACAGAGTATTATTTTCTGTTCATAAATGTTGGGGGTTTTGCCTTGAAATAAAGGTATTAAAGTTAGCATAGTAACTCTAAAAGAAGGCACAAACAGCAATCATATGAAACATTTTAATACATGCACACATTTTTGTCCTTATAACATTGTTAGCATAAATTCTATTACACATTTTCCTCCAAACCTAAAGTCAGATTAAAACAGGTACACAGCATACTTTTAAGCAATTTAGTTTTTAATGCCAGTACATTGAACAGATTAAGAAATGTATACATGAATTCAAATATACAATTTACAAATCCATTATACAGGAAACTACATGGATTCACATTTTACTTCCTAAAAAAAAACTGTATTCACATTTTACTACCTGCTCAAGACAGCTGAAGGTTAGAGTATCACAGGAGAATTGGCTTTAGTGTGCTGTTCTATATGGAGAAAAATAATGCATTCTTTTTTAAAAGCAATCATACTACCCACCTAACTTACAAAGAAGCAACGAAGCTTCCTACTTGCCTGCTAACCTAGTAGATAGCTTGTATGTTCTACTGAATTTATTGTCACAACTAGTCCAAAGGGTCTAGTGGAAAACTTTAAAGCAGTTGAAAAATAAAGGCAGTAACTTTGTTGAGAAAAAAAAGTAGTGTCTTCAAAGTGAAAGCCAAAATTCTAGAGAAGATACAGGAATTTGCAGATGCGAATACAAAGTTTAAACAGTTAATGATATTACTGGATTGGCCATCATTACAAGAAGCCACGAACTCATTTGTCCTCATTATGACTTTGGGTAGCTAATTCAAGACAAGATTAAATATAAATTTTTTGTGGAAGAGGGGTTAAAAAAATAGAATAAGTAAAGTAGGGACCACATTGCTCTACAGAGCTTAAGATCAACAACACATTTTCATTATTAAAGGAGGCACAATTAAAAAAAAAAGAGCTACAATCAGCACCTAATCTATCCTTGAAGATTTTTTTAAAGAGAGTGGTTGTACATTTTCATTACTCTTAGTGGTTAGAGCCTGAAACAGTCTAACCAGGAGGATAGCATTCTTGCATTGCTCCTTTCTCAAGACTAAGTGATAACACCATAAAAATTTTCACACATCAGCCCTGATTTTAGCCCCTCTGGCCTTGTGCTCAATGGTAAACCAAACTAAAATGTGTTCTTTTACCTTGCATTAGTTAACTAATAATTAAACCAATTAAAATTTCAAATCCCAGTGAGAATAAGGCAATTATGAGTATTTCAGTTTCAGATACAAGTCTGTCATGAAAGCACTCTCAACTAACCACTGCCACTTGGTGAGAAAGAGTAATGGACCAAACAGTGCATGGTAATAGAAAAAATACAGACTTTGTAATGATTGCACAGGTATTTCAAGATAAAAGCTAGAGACCAAGATCCAGAATCAGCTATTTTAAACAGTGGCTCCCAGTGGAAGGGGGTGGAGGGAGTTGAGCAAACCCAACAACTATACTCAACTGCAATTATGTTACTTAGATTCTAAAAAATGCTATAAAACCGACTTTAATCCAACTGAAAGTTAATAGCCTTCTGGAGAAAGCTACAGTTATACATAATTTGCACTCCTCTAGTATCCAAGGCAGCAAATGACCAGACAATTTCACAAGCCCAACTTGTTATCCCAATTTTCGCTAGTCAAAGATAAGACAACAAAAGCTTTTAAAGTAAACAGGGTCCTTACACATAAATACAAAAGTACACATAAACTAGTTATAAAAGTAGAGTTTTTTTAAAGTAGTAAAATGTTACATGCACATGTGTGCAACACCATACTTCAAACATCTGGAAGTTACTGCATGTGCACAGACTCTTTTTACAAAAATAAAACTAGAACTAAAAACTTTGATAATTATCTTCTGAGGAAGGTTATGAAAGCTCTTATGTTCTTTGACTTGAATGCAGTTCTCAACTCTTTCCAAAACTCAGGTCTTCTCTAAGTGATGGTCTTTTTCCCTTCTATTAATCTTCTTTCATTGGCATTGGCCAGCACCCTTTTATAACTATTTGACAAATCTTAGTTGCCAGCTGTTAACTGTTGGGCCTTATTTCATCCTCAGTTTGCTGATAATGGAGAGGAAAATAATATACACAGACGGAGGCATTTATCTCCTAAATGCTCACAGCCAACTATTTAATTCTTCTGGAAATACTTCTGGAGTACTTGGCCTAACAGAATCAAGTCTCCGTATTTACTAGGTATTGCCTAGATCTCATACACTTTTCAACTAGACAATTTAATGAGCCAAGTGATCTTGAGAACCAATATACTACAGAAATAATATAATAAAAAATAAAAACAATTAAAAGCCAAAAATTCACCCTACAAAAAAAGCCCTTAAAAATTCTTTACATATAACAAAATCTGTAAGAATCTTCACAGGGTCCAAAAGGTTGAACAGAGAGGTTGCCACACAAGAAGGCACTTTGTAGTTGGGTTTTAAACATTTTTGTCAATATTAGTAGACTTCTTTTTTAGCATCACTTTCTGTAATTGCTTGTATACACATTTGATTAATTTCAGGGACTTTTTTTCCTCTTTCTTTCTCCTTTGTAACTGTCACATGGCTAAAACCTATCAGAGTTATCTATGCAGAAGTTAAGAGTTTGATCTTTAGAAATACAGAAGATCAGTTTAGACTTTAGGAACACTTAGTCATCAGGACCCTCAATACAAAACCAAGAATAAGTTCACTGCAGATTTACTGTATAAGTTACATTAATCGACTTGCTTCCTTAAGTCTTGATTTGAGAAATGAGAGGTGTCGAAACTGTCACGACATATTGCATGACTATGAGCCCTAACAATTAACACACAATTTCCTCAACACTGACTTTTTCAAAATGTCATAAATCTCAGGTTTGGTAGAGATAAACAGATCAGCCTCCCTCAGGGTTGTTCTACCAACTTACGTTCCACACACAAAGACAAACGCTTAAGAAATGCTCTCTACATAACACAGTTTTCTCAATCTTTAGATATTCCTTCCCTTTGAAACAATTCTCAAGAGTGCTAGATTCGATATGATTTATAATTATACTGATGATTAAAGATTGACTGGCACTAGAATTGGGAAACAAAATGACACAGAACAATTTGGTACTCACCTTCCCTCCCTCCCAGTTATGACAGAATTCTTTCCATTGTCTTAAACCAATTTGTAAGTCTCCAGGCTGATATTAAGAGGAGCAATCCTATTCCACCTCCTCATATCTCTATTCCCTCTACTGTGCTGACTTAGCTGCTTCTGCTGCCACACATTAAGTGTACTGAGGAAATAATTCTATTTATTTTTTACTCAGTTCTGAATTACATCAGTTTCCTGATCCTACTCTGTATAGCCATGGGAGTACTTAGACTGGCACAAGGGATGCAAACAGGATACCAAAGTAACAGTTCCTTTCAGCAACAACATGGTCTTAGATCAGCCTAAACTGACCATGATATAACCTGCATGTCCAGGGCACAAGAGTTGCAAAAATAAGAGTAGAGAGATAAGAAAGGCAAATACAAGACAACCTCTAACTCTTTTAAATTTAAAAATTCAATCAAAATGTATTTTTGAAAGTGTATTAGCAAGACCATTTCTTAAGGGGGAGAAAACTTGTTATTTTACAGAGCATGTATAAAACACTAGTTCTGTAAGCAAAAATATGGCCTCCCATGGCTTTTAAAAAATCCAGCTGAGTTTAGTTGTGCACAGATTCTGTTAGCATCTTTTCCCCCCCCAGATTGGGCTATGCATCAGATTCTTCAAACAAGCTCATCCAGGAGCCTCTTTTTCAGGGCAGATTCCTCCTCTTCTACCAGTCAGTCTATCTGTGTATTTACAGTATTTTCACAGATCTCCGAGATCCACTATCTTTCTACAAAATTCAGTGACTCTTGATAACTCTGGGCTCCCTCTACACCTTGGCCCGCAGCTGTAAATAAGAGCACCACTACATGAACTTGTCCAGTTTTATTACGAAAGTGAATTCATGGAGCTCTGAGAAGCAGTTAGAGTGACAGATACTTTGTATTTGTGCAAGCATGCATGAAATAATGCCTGAAACTAGTCAAGATAGAATACAAGGATAAAAAGAATTACTGAACAACTACTTGAATAGTATGGATCCCATGAAAAAGAATTGTCTGAGGTTAAATAAGTACAGAATGCACATATAGAAGGGGACAAATTAAAATTCTAACATCTAATAGTCTAGACTTTGTAAATTTAATATTGTTTTAATGGTGTGTTGCATTTTAGACATGCATGCACTACATTTTGTAGCTGAAAGGGTTTTTATCTTTTAAATAGGAAGTCTGACCATGTGCAGACTAGGCAATAGTTTTTCGCCCAACAAACAAGACCTCAAAGAAGAAACTGAAGTTTTCCTTGAGTGGTAGGTGTAAGTAAATCACTGATTATACTCACACTCCACATCCCTAGAATGCAATTACACTGCTTGATCAAAGTGTAACAGAAGGTTTAAAGTAGTTTACTAGAGAATTTCCACAACTTTAAAATATTTAAAAAATGCATTTCACGTGGAAGTTGATAAATCAAAATTTAAAGAAGAAATGTTTTCTGGGAAGAAAATAAGGATTTTTTTCATACAGCACTACCCATAATAGCAGCGTTCATATTAAAACTGCATTTTATTGCCTCAACTGCACAGAAAATCCTGACTGTGAAATAAAGAAAGAAAATAAAGACAATCTTTACGTTGATGAATCATATTTCTCTTAGCCACCAAGGACAAAGGAGGAAAGTTATTACAGCTTTTTGGGCAGGTAAAACTGCAGATGCAACCTGAAGGTTATA